TCAGAGCCCGACGCGGGGCTCGAACTCACGGACCGCGAGATCGTGACCTGGCTGAAGTCGGACGCTTAACCGACTGCGCCACCCAGGCGCCCCTAAGATTTTATTTTTAAGCAATTCCTACACTCAACTTGGGGCTTGACTTCGCAACCCTGAGATCAAGAGTTTCATGTTCTACCAAATGAGCTAGCCAGGTGCCCCTACATTAAGTTTCTGTCAGTAACAACCAAAAAGTGGAGGAATCCCTGTCTTTTCAGACCACTGAAACTCTCCTGTGAAGCCCAACCTCTTCCAAACGGTTGGACAAATCAATCAACTCATATCTCATCCTCTCTTTTCCTCCCCCTCCACCCCAAACACATAATTCCCCAACTGCTGTAGCAGACTCTTCTAGAACAGAAGAGTTATAATATGACTGAAGACTTCCAGTAGATTAAAAAACTAAGAATTCAAAAGGGGAAATAATTCATCAATCATTTTTAACAGTGATCCAAGCAATATCCAGCAGAAAGAAGAGACTTGATAAGATGGTAAACAGCAGTGTATTTACCCTGGTGTGGTCTTTTGGTCCCCAGTCTTGTAGTTTTAGTTTTGCTTGACCACCAGATTTACATACTCTAGGGACTTCTGGAGTCTGCTATATTACTGCTTTCATTGTTAACTCTCTGTTCACCCCCTTCAAAGCTTTCTAACTTTATATAAGATGAAGCCAAAACTTAATCTGGTATTCAGATCTATAGGTCTATATCATCTCTAAAACCCAATGTCCCTTCAATCTACTTTTCCTATCTTACCTGGCTCTAATATTTTATGAACCCTTTGTTTCAGCTGGAAAGGTCCATCTCTAGACATTAGTTGTACATTTGTATATCTTCAGCTTTGCTCTTTGTGCTAAGCATAATAATGGCTCCCCCACATGCCCATGTCCTGATCTCTAGAACATGTGAATATGTTATTTTGCATGGCAAAAGGGACTTTGCAGATGTGATCAAGTTACAGGTCTTGGGAAAATTATTGTGGGTTATCAGAGTAGCTCAATGCAATCACAAGGGTTCTTCTAAGAGGGAGGCAGAAGGGTCAGAATAACAGGAGGAGACATGACAACAGAAACAGAAGTCGGAGTGATGCAGGGCCACAAGCCAGGGAGTGCAGCAGCCTTTAGAAACTGGAAAGGGCAAGGAAATAGATTTCTCCCTAAAGCCTCTGGAAGGAACACAGCCCTATTAACACTTTAATTTTAGCCCTATAAA